CACACACACACACACACACACACACACACACACACACACACATCCGAGCCACAGGTGCTAAAAAAGTGATCAACAGAAGCAGTCAGGCTGTCAGGACTGGTTGGAGCGCAGAGGATCCAAATGATTTCCAAACAAGGATTATAGATCCAAGCTGCCCGCCCTGAGCTTCCATCGTTCAGGAGATTCTAACATTTGAAGCTTCACAGACTTCTTACTGACAACAAATCTACAGAAACACGCAGTGAAACCCAACAAACAAGAATGAGTCAGTTTGTTTCATCCAGTTTGAGTTTTACTGGAGCGGCCTCAGCTGCTCGTCGCAGCTGAAGTTATGTCTCAGGCTCAAGTAGCCGAAGCAGAGGAACGATTCAGGCCATGGAAAGAATGTCAAGACCGCCAGAAGCTTCGGGCCGATGGCCGTGGCGCTATTTTAGATCTTTTAACTTTACACGCTTCCACTTGACATGAGTAACCTCGCAGCTCTTACACAATAATCAAATAAAACAAGATTTTTCTTTCTCTGTTTCAGACTCTGACATAGACCAAGAGGACGGCCATGTTTTCAACCAAACCAGAGATCAAGCTGTAAGTAAACGGGGGCGGGGCCACATGGACAGGTGACATGTCCATCACACAACATCTCGAATCATTACCTGTAAGTCTGAAAGCAACAGTCAGAACAGTTGGTTTGTTTATCCAGCTGGTACAGGTGACATGTCGGGACAAACTGTTTTATAAGATTTACTGTGCGAGAGTTCAGGAAACAAACGGTGGAAGGAGGTGGTGGAGGCCGGAGTGGGACACGTTTCCTCCCTCAGAGACAAGCTGAGCTGAAAACAAACAGCATGCAGCTGAAAAACACCACCAACAGCAGGTTACAGGGAGCCGCAGTGGCTGCAGGAAAACTGTTCAGAGGCCAATTTAAATATTTTATTTATTGTTTGACTAATGAGACAAAACACACTTCTGTATGCAGAGGAGCGTTGCTGCAGCTCCAGCAGAGAAATAAACATAAAATCTGACGTGATTCATGCAGGATTGGTTTTATTTCCACATTCAGACTTGTTGAAACAAGAGCACTGATCATCAAATGGTGGCCCGCAGGCCAATTCAGGGCGTCAATGTACTCCTGCAGGGGGCGGGGTTGGCATTTTGAGCTTTTAGCTAGCTTCTAGATGCCATTTGACTACTTTGAGCTTTCAGCTAGTGCTTGTTGTTGCTATGTTTAGCTAGCGTTTTGCTAGTTTTAGCTTTCAGCTCACATTTTTCTACTTTAGCTTCTAGCTATAATTTAACAAATGTTGCATTTTAGCTGACATTTATCTATATTTAATTTTTAGCTGTACTTTTCTTACTTATAGCTTAAAGCTAGCCTATATTTTTCTTTCTAACCTTTTGCTGATTTCAGTTTCTTATTTTAAACTTTTGGCTTGCCTCTTTTACTTTTTTTGCACTTTTTAAAAAATTTTGCAGCTTAAAACTTTTAGCTAGCCTTTTTCTGGTAATAGCTTTCAGCCTGCCTTTCTACTATTAGCTTCTTTTGAAAATGTTACTTTATAGCTGACCTTTATGTTTAGCTTTGATCTACAGCTGCTTGCTACATATAGTAACTGTACTTGTTTTTAGTATCTTGTTCATCTTTTCTGCTTTTAGTGTTTTGCTACTTTAAACATTTACCTTACTTTTAGCTATTTTGCAGCTTATAACATTTGGCTAGCCTTTAGCTTTAAGCCAGTGGGGTTATTTTTCCAGTAGCTTACATTTTGCTCCATTTGGATTTTAGCTTATATTTTATTTTTCTAACATTTTCTAGCCTTTAGCTAGTGTTCTGCTTCTTTGACAAAATTCATCAAGACGAGTCAGCTCAGCATTTTCACTGCATTTTAGCAGAAAATAAAAATTTCCCAGTTATTGTCACGAGGATTAAATAATCATTGAAGTCTGGCCCCTGAACAGATTTATTTGGCTGTTTAGCAGCTGGATCAGTGGAAGAGCTGAACTGTCCACCATGTTGGTTTTTGTTTAAAAGACCTGTAAATATTCTCGTCACGGTTTATTTATGTTTTAGATCTTTGACCGTGGAGTCTCCTGCTGCAGATCAGACTTTTATTATCGGAGTTAAAGAGTCGAACAATGAGGAACCGTTAAAACTTCTGTTCTCTGATCAGGTGAAACACAAGAGGAGGTCGCCCCCCTCGACCAGGTCCCCCTCCGCCCCGCAACGTAACCCCCACCACAGCAGTGCTGCTGACGAGGAGGAGAGCCCCGAGAGAGTGGTGAGAGGGATGGACACACACACACACACACACACACACACACACACACACACACACACACACAGGCCTACAGTGCATAGAGAGAGAGAGATACGACATGTAAACAACCCACAACAAACAGCATTAAAGGTATTTAAAATGTTTTTATTTGACTGAAAACCTGATCATTATTCAGTAAAATTATTTATTATTAAATTATTTCTGCTTTTGTAAACAGCAGAGGCTAAAAAAAGATTTTGTCACTTCTGTAACATTTCTGTTACATTGTCAGAGTTTGTTTTTAATTAAATTACATTTTAACTGAGCGAATGCTGAATAAATGTTAAATTAGTTAAATTTGGTATTTTGTTAATTATTGCACATGCAGTCATTTTGATTTCCTATGTTTAAATCAGGATAAATTCTTTAAAAAACCTCTTCATCACTCTGAAACTGTGTTGTATTAAAGGAGCTGAGACCGACCCTGCCGGCCACAGAGTCCAAACAAACTGCACCACAAAGGTTCTGACCCGCTCAGCTCATAGTTCGGCACATAAACAAGCTTTAGTTTCTCCCGGCTCAGCAGAAACATCAGCTTCAGCCTTTTCACGCAGCAGCAGCTGACCGACCTCAGGCAGCAACCAAACCTGTGAAATTTGGCAGATCTGGACCGGCGGTGGTGGTGAGACGCCCGCTGCATCAAATACAAAATACAAAAGAAGAATCAGCAAAACAGCAGCCAAAATATGTGCTAGAGCTAAAGTCATCTAAACAGACTTTTTAAGTTTGCAAAACATAAGTTAAAAGTAGACAAAAAATAAACAAAAACAACTGATGAGGCTAAAATCATTAAAACATATATGAAATTGAATAAAATGTCTTAAAATTATTGAAACAGTAGCAAAGCAGTAACAAAACAGAGCAAAAACAAATGCTAAAGCAGAAACCAATGAAACAAATGTCTTAAAATTATCAAAAAGTAGCTAAAGGTAGCAAAACAATAGCCAAAAAAGAGCCAAAAATGCTAAAGATAAAAATCATAAAAACAAATACGTATAGCTAAACATCTAAAATGATCAAAATAGTAGCTAAAAGTTTCAAAAAAGTAGACAAAAAAAGCAAAAATAACTGCTAAAGCTAAAATTAATAAATCCAATGTTGAAATTTCAAAGTTAAATGTTTCAAAATGATCAAAAAATAGCTAAAATTTGCAAAACAGTAGCCAAAAAAGAGCAAAGTAGAAATAAACTAAACACCCTAAAATCACCAAAACAGTATCAACAAAAACAGCTAAAGCTAAAATTTTTAAATGTAACTTATCTAAATTTATCAAAAGAGTAGCTAAATGTAACAAAGCAATAGCCATAAAAAGATAAAATAAAGCTAAAATCATTCTAACAAATGTTGAAATTAGCTAAAATGTCTTCAAATGATAAAACAGTAACTAACAGGTAAACGTTTATCAAACACTTGAACATGTTTTTTTCTGCTGCACTTGATTTCAGTCCAACAAAATCAACCTCATTTTTATTTAAAGTTCTTCCTTTGCTTCTGCTGGCCAATGGCTTTGCTCTGTTTTCTTGACAGCGTTAAAATAAAATTAAAAAAAATCCTCTAGTGTCTTTATTTTTATTATTGTTGCCAATATTTTATCTGCAGTGGATCTAATACGACTGGTGAAGCTATTTTTAATCCTCCTTTCCGACAGGTCACCAGTGGTTTGAGATTATCTGGGGCAGGTTTAGGCATCATTGTTGCAGATCGTTTCCTAAAGTTTCTGGTGTTCTGTTTGCAGGAGCAGAAGGAGAAACTCCATGCGGAGCTGAAGCAGGTGTTGAGTCAGAAAAGAAGTCATCTGAGAGAATCAGCCTGCCAGCTGGCACAACCAGAGATGGATTCAGAGCCAGCAGAGGAACAGACAGTAAGCAGGCAAATAATTAACACTTTAATCTCATCATTCAGGCTTTAATTAAGCACTTACTCAATTATAAGTCCATAATATTATTCTGTTTTATAGGAAATGTCTTTGCAAAGACATTTTCACTTCACTTATTTCCACCTGTGTGTTATTTTCTTTGGTCAGTCTGTGGAAATCTGTAGTTTGAGAATATGGATAAAATGGATTGAGGAGTAAAGTGCAAAGAAGCTGAGCAGAGCCACTTTTTGTACAATGTAAAAAAAACAAAAAATAAAAAAAAGCTAACCTGGATTAATGATGAAAGACCAAACTGAAGCTTATTTCTGTGTCGCAGACTGGGGAGAAAATCTCCAAGCCGGTGGAAATCATGGTGGAGACAGATGCAGGGGTTGGCGCCAGCGGCTACAGCGTGACGGGCGGAGGAGAGCGGGGGATCTTTGTTAAAGACGTCCTCAAAGACTCTCTGGCTGCCAAACACCTGAGTCTGCAACAAGGTACACGCCGTCATGTCTCATCCCTTCAGGAAACTGCTTCACCACAAAATAAATCAAACAGAGAGATGAAAACAGCAGCTTTTGTCACAGTTTAGCAGCAATTTGGACCCAAAAATGCAAGGAACTCAGAAAAATAACTTTTATTGGAACAAAACAAAAAGGCTGTTGTGGGACCAAAACTTATACGATTTGAGTTTAAACAAGGAGGCACGCTGAAAACACAACAATGAGAGAAAACTGACAGAACGTTTAGACCGGGGCTGACAAGGAAGTGGAGACACCTGGGCTAGATGAGGACAGGGAACAGGTGAGACTGGGCGGAGCTGGAGCAGAGGAGTACAAGTGACTGACTGTGGGGAAAAGACTGTCGGCACAAAGAAAAATACAAGAAATAAATATTTCATCAGCATTTAGCACCAAACTGCAATCATTTGATGTAATTTTAAACCTTCAAATTTAATATTATGTATTTTTTCCTCCAGAATCCTCAAGAAGAATAAAACAACCTGAGATTCATTGATTTATGTCTGTCTTCAATCAAAGGTGATCAGCTGCTGAGCGCTAAAGTCTACTTTGACAATGTGAAGTATGAAGACGCGCTCAGGATCCTTCAGAGCGCAGAGCCCTATAAGGTCAGCTTCCAGCTGAAGAGGACCATCCCTAAAGCTGAGGCCAGCGTGCGACCAAGAGCTCCAAGTGTGGAGGTCAAAACTCCTAAAGTCAAGATGGCCAAAATGGTAATCAAATATTTTCTGTATTTACGACATTAAACCAGACTAAAACCACTGATGCCAACTTGTCAGTAAGAAAAGTTGTTTTTGTCCTAAAAGCCACTAAAAGTCACTAAAGATGTCATTAGCATATTTGGATATTTTCCAGTAATGGGGCAGTGGTTCCCAAAGTTGGGATCGAGACTCATTGGTGGGTCACAAAATATCAAGTGAGGGTCCCCAGCTGATTTCCAGGCAAACATTTCAATGTAAATAAAATGCTAATGGAACATATTTTCACCCTTATCATTGCAAATAATTTTATTTACAATAATGATAAATTAATAAAAGCAGCATCGTAGTTATTAGGTTTCTTTATACTGCTATTTTGCACATATTAGCAAAGTTTGCAAATGTAAACAAGTAATATCTGGGGTCACAACTTTCTGCAACTGTAATTTTGGGATGTAGGGAGTAATAAAGATGCATATCAATGTTTATGAGGAACATGAGTAAACATGAGTAAAAATCCTCTGCAAATAAATTTAATGAACTTAGTTCACCATGCATAAATAAATTTTGTGAGAATTTCAAATTTAACCAAACGACTGTTGGATATTGGACGAGGTGAAGACGTGACAGAGGCTGTGACTCAAATGCAGCCAATTTCAGAGGTTTATTTTATTGCTTTAGTGTCAGGGTAAAGAAACATCACAGTAAAAATTACAAAGGGAATCAGTCGCAGCTTTGTGCATGCATGATTTATTTACAGCACTGGATGCAGAGCGGAGAGGGTCTCCTCTCTGCTCTGACAGCAGCTGGGGTTGCTGCACGAGGCGTCTGTGGGTCGGACCATTTGTCAGTGCTTTAGAAAGGTGGAGAGGCTCATCACACCACTCAGTGCTTGATGAAAAAAGTGTTGTTACCAAAAGTTTCCAATAGCACCGGGAAAGGTTGCTATATTTGTCGTTAGTCGCTTTTTTGGGGGAAAACTCATTAAATCTTGGCCTTGTGCTGTTTAAAGTACTTTATAAATAAAAGCGGTATGGTATGGTATGGTATGGTATGGTATGGTATGGTATGGTATGGTCTGGTCTGGTCTGGTCTGGTCTGGTATGGTATGTTATGGTATGGTATGGTATGGTATGGTATGGTATGGTATGGTATGGTATGGTATGGTCTGGTCTGGTCTGGTCTGGTATGGTCTGGTATGGTATGTTATGGTATGGTATGGTATGGTATGGTATGGTATGGTATGGTATGGTATGGTATGGTCTGGTATGGTATGGTATGGTATGGTATGGTATGGTATGGTATGGTATGGTAAATCTGGCAACAAAGTCATTAAGATGGCAACATGGGCTAAAAGTTCAAACTTGATTGATATTCCATTAAACTAGAACGTTGACATATTTAATCAAATTAAAGTTTATATTTAGGAGCTCCATCATGAATGATGTTTACTGACCATAAAAGTAAAAATCTTTCTTGTTTGTGTGTTTCTGTTGCAGAGTGTGAAGGGCACCAAGCCTTTCAAGGCCCTAAAGAAAAGAGGTGGTCGTTTTGGTCTGAAGAGGTTGAAGGAGAAGCACAGAGAGGAGGTGGTAATCGAAGGAACTCCTCCACGACTGGAAACGGGTGATGTGGACGTGGAGTTCTCACTTCCAAAAGTCAAACAGAGGAAGAGTGGGAAGTTTGATGAACAAGACATCCGAGGATCAGTAACCGTGGGGAAACCAAAAAGGAAAATCAGGTTGGTCTTCTTTGTATTGTGTCTTTTTATTTTTACCTTAAATATAACTATACTTAAATAAATACAATAAAAACATATATATAGTGTTGTTTTTGTTCCTTTACTCTTTCAGGTTTCCTCACATGAAAGTCAAGAAATACACCAGATCAGAGACAGAAGGAAAAGTGGAAACAGGACAGCTTGAGGGACACATAAACGTCCCTGCATCTGAAATACCTGGAGCTAAAGTGAAAACCAAAGGGAAAGGACACAAGTTTGGGATAACGTTTCCTAAAACCAAGCACATAAAATCAGATTCTTCTTTGGAACGAGGATCTGTGGAGCTGAAGCCTCCAGATGTGAGCCTCCAGCCACCACCAGTGGAGTTTAGTTTGTCAGAGTCTAAAGACAAGGATGTGGACAAGAGAGGGTCAAAGTTTAATCCCCCGGATGTAGAGTTTGCACTCCCTTTAGGAAAACCTGAGGTGTCTTTGCCAAAAGCGAAGGGATCTGCAGGAATTAAAGCTCCCAAAGTTGAAGTTAAAGGAGAAGTTGATGCACCAGAAGGTAGGATTAATGTGGACAGCGACACAGGAGACACAAAACTCAAAATGCCAAAGTTGAAACTTCCTAAAGTTCGACTCTCACGTCATTCGGATGAGATTGATGGAGAAATGAAGGTGAAGGCTGAGGGGAAGAAAATACCTCATGCTGGCGTAAAAACAAAAGGAGATGGTGAGGTTAGGCTTTCTGGAACAAAACTCACCACAACAGAAGTGAAAGGTGAAGGTTGTTCTTTCGAACTTCCCTCAGTTGTTTCTTTGCCAAAAGTTAAGTTTGAAACTGATGGCTCACTCCAAGATCATCCAGGAGCAGTGAAGACAGCAAAAATGCCTGCCATCGAAATCTCTGTACCAAAGGTGGATTTGGAATTTGATACACGACAAAGAATTCCAGATGAAGTGGAGGGCACCGTTAAAGGAGCTAAAATTTCCATGCCAAAGGTTGATATCGCTTTACCAAAAATGGGGTCTCCTGATGTGAATATTGAAGGGCCAGATGGTGAAGGAAAGTTTAGTCCACCTTCCCTTGACATCTCTGTCCCAAAGGTGAAATCAGACGTCGATATGGATTATTACGTTGGTGGAGATGGAAAGTTCAAAATGCCCGAATTTGACGTAACTCTCCCAAAACTAAAGCCATCAGAGCAGGAAGTGGAAGGGAGTTTTAAGTTACCCAAAGTAGACTTAACTCTTCCCAAAGTAGATATTAAAGGACCTGGAATCAAAGAAGGAGCTAAATTTAACATGCCTGCAGCTGAACTGTGTCTTCCAGAAGGAAAAGCAGAGAGTAAGGAAGAGATAGAAGGAAAAGGAAGCAAGTTAAAGATGGCTTCGGTTGATGTTTCTCTCCCTAAATTTAAATCAAAGCAAACAGACATCAGTATCGAAGAGCCAGAATTTAAAAGCAGTGATTTAAAAGCACCAGCTATTGACATTTCACTTCCTCAAGGCACATTTGAAGGAAATGTTGCTTTTAGTAGTGAGGGTGAATTCAAGCTGCCATCTATAGATATGAGCCACCCTGGAGTTAAATTCTCAGAAGGAGATGCAAATATTCAAGGTCCAAAAGTCAAAAGTGGAAAGTTTGAAATGCCCAACATTAATGTCTCACTTCCAAAAGGAAAAGAACACAGAAATATTGACATTAACATTCACTCGGGAACAGATGGGAACATTGACCTGCCCTATTGTGATATTGGAGGTCCTGAAGGAAAAACAGGAAAATTCAAATTGCCCAAAGTTGATATCACTCTTCCAAAACTGCCAGAGGGGGAAGTCAAAGTTGAAAGACCAGAAGTGGAAGTACCAACTGTTGATATTTCTCTTCCAAAAGGAAAACTAGAAGGAGATCTTGACGTTGACACAAAGGGAGCTAAATTTCAAATGCCTTCACTCAATATTAACCTTCCTAAGATAAAATCCAAGGAAACAGATATTGATATAAAGGGAAATAAAGGAAAGTTTGAAATGCCATCACTGGATGTTTCAGGACCTAAAATAAAATCTCCAGAGGTAGATGTCAAACTCCAGAGTACAGATGTTGACATTTCACTTCCAAAACCAAAAGCTGTGGTTGACATCGATTATGAAGGGAAAGATGGAAAAATAAAAATGCCAAAAGTTGACATTTCATTGCCAAAAGTAAATGTTCCTGAGGGTAACATCACAATTAAAAAACCTGTACTCAATAAGAAGATTGAGCTGCCAGACATTGACATTTCACCAACCAAAGGAAAATTAGATGTTGAGTTTGATGGACATGGTAGTAAAAGTGGAAAGTTCCAAATGCCGTCTGTTGATTTCTCTCTACCTAAATTGAAAGCAAAAAGAGCAGATGTCAACATAGAAGGTCCTGAAATTATAGAAGGAAGCACAAACATAACTGAAGTTTCATTTCCAACAGGAAAAGCTGAAGTAGATATCAGTGTTGAGAGCCCTGATGTGAAAGGTGGAAAACTCAAGATGCCAAAGTTCAATGTTTCTCTACCAAAGGTCAGTCTTGAGGGACCAGATATAAAAGGAAAATTTGAAAGTTCATCTGCTGATATTTCACTCCCAAAAGCAAAGAAAGGTGTGGAAATTGAGGCAGAAACTGGTAAAGGCAGCAAGTTTCATCTTCCTTCAGTTGACTTTTCTCTTCCTAAAGTCAAAGCAAAGGGTCTTGATGTGGACATTCAAGGACCTAGCATCAAAGGTGATGTGTCTCTCCCTAAACTTAAGGCTCCAGAGGTAGATGTCAACCTCAAGGGCCCAGAAATTGAAGGGCCCAAGATTGACCTACCTTCTGTTGATGTTTCACTTCCTAAAGGTACAATAGAGGGGGACATCAATCTTGAAGGCCCTGATGTGAGCAGTGGAAAATTCATGATGCCAAAGTTTGATGTTTCTCTACCAAAGGT